AATGCTCTCTGAATTAGTTTTCTAATCAGAAAATAATCTTAAATGCCATTATGTTCATTATGATTAGGTACCTACTTTAAACTTGAAATTATAAAACTGTCTATATTTCTCGCACATTATAGAATGAACTATCCATGACCAAGTTCTTCTTAATATGTAATACAATATAAATAAAAGGCATTGTGCAAGGAATTGGGTTTATATCAAGTTATTATTAATAACATTATAACAAGGCACATGATAAATGAGCCTTAAAAATAGTTCAACGGAATGGAGTTACTTACAAAGAATACTTAAATAAAAAATAAATCAGTGGCGCTACAACCTCTTTATTTATTGGCCTCAGATTTTTAAATCTAATAGGCAAGTAGGTGATCAGCCTCCAGTGCCCGACACACGCCGTCGACTTTATGGGTCTAAGACATGTCGATTTCCTCACGATGTTTTCCTTCAATGTTCGAGCGAATGTTAAATGCGCACATAGAAAGAAAGTCCATTGGTGCTCAGCCGGGGATCGAACCTACGACCTCACGGTATGAGATTCGCACGCTGAAGCCACTAGGCCAACACTGCTCTGCACTGCACAAAGAATACTTACACAAAATTAACCTGGAAAATTATGATGGCATAGAAAAAACAATGTTTACCAATCCGTATTTTACATATGTATGTTTTAGCCTGGTGAGAAAATTTTCAATAGATTATCCGTTACAACAAAATCCAAATGAGAAAGATCGTTTTCCCATATCTTACAAAATATGCAGAAAAAGATCACTGCAATGCTATGGGCTAACTTTGACAAAAAAAGATCCCGATTTCTGTATTTTCTCACGATGAACGTCAACCTGATTCTCACATTCAGTACATTTTATACTTTATATAGGTAGTAACGCAATGCGCCTGCGTGACAAATCACTTGCAATTGGCCGGAATGCGCGCCCTAACTTGGCCGGCCCTATACATTTCTTACATTCTTCTGAAGTACTTTACTAAAAAGAAATATTATCATCGCATTAATTTCCTAAACTGGATTTTCGATCTCCAACTATAAGATAACCCGTAAAATTTAATATAATGTTGCTTTTTAGTAATGGCTACATAGACACAATATACGTATATTATAATACAATAAAAAACAAGATAAGAACTTGCGAACTTTCTGCCATGAGTATCACTTAACATCAGACGAGCCTTCTGCCAGTTAGCCCCGTTATATACAAAAATATATTCATTTGAATACTTTTAATGGAACGTTACAGAATCACATTGAACATTTATCTGTTTTTACACGCAAAAAAATTTAACTAAAAAATAAACAAATACTCTGTGCCATATTTTTCGTCTATCGAGCAACCCACGCTTTTTCACAATAATACCAGTATTTTTTGTTTATTATCATTTTCAGCCTAAAGTAGGAATTATTTTTCACTTTTTAGTTTGATGTGCTTTAAAAGCGTGTTTTTTAGTTTTTTTTAACTATTATTTATTAATATACGAGTATCACTCATAATCTTTGACCTTCAACTGTCATGGGTTTGTCCAAAGTTGTCTAATAATCTGTTAATATATAATCACAGACTAGTATAGTAGCATTAGACCATACATAGAATTTGCAATTACAAACAATACTATAAAAAACTGCATACAATTTTTAATCTTTTTTTTTTCTATTATTCGCTTGTCGAAAGTACAGCTCTAACTTAAAAAAAACATTGACAGCAAAATTTGCTTGAAAACATTTCCTAAGTCTAATTTATCATGTCTAATATTTCCTAGTGATACATCTCTCACAGCGTCTGCCACAGATTATAATCCTAACACTAACGAACTATAGTTTTTCCTCACTGACGTTCGATATCATAACTTGGCAATCGTCGCGACTCTGTTCCTAAAACAGCAGCATTAAATAAATATAAAAATCTGTGTGAATCTCCTCCGACCGCGTTTCTATGAGACTTTATCGGAATGTCATATTGCAAGATATTAAATGGATAATTCATACATCCTTTTTAGGATACCATATCAGCAATGAAGTGATTTAGAGCGTTTTATGTTTTTGTTTATGATTTATTGCTGTATGTATTACATAGATCTGAGCTCTAATTAATCTGTTGTGTTTTAATAACGTTTATAAACATTTTATATGAATTTATAATTGTGTATTTATTAGCGTAAAGTGTCTTAAGATACATATAAGATAAAAGATAGAAAGGTAAATATAAGATAGATAAATATTGGTGTATTATGTTATTAAAGTTACTAAAAGTAATACTTTACATTTACAAAATATAAAGTAAAACGCCAAAATGGACCCTACATATATTTGTTACGCACTACAAACCAAGCAGAACTATCATACAGAACAAAGCATGCATGATGACTTGACTATAACATGCCATTTTAGCATTTATCGTATTCAAATAAGTGTTATAATAGCATACATAATCTTCATATATATAAACGATAATCATTATATACTTGGCGTTGATTCGTGACTATTTACGACGAAGCATTACATAAAGTAATACAACTTATGTTCTATTAATATATGCAATTCAGAATCGTATGCAAACATAAACTCTATTATGAAACTATAATCAATTCTATATAAAACGATCTGAGATAAAATAACGTCTTATTTCAATTCGCACCTCGCGCCCAATATCCTACTTACATTATTACCTAGATATCAATTTATATGACCCACATAAATAGCGATAATAAATAGCTCTCATATTATTATAGAATTCGACACAAAGCCCACAAAAGTCGCTTCGGAATGGCTTGGTAGCGGCATAAATACCGCTTCAAATGCTAATATATCACAAGGCGGCGCGGCGTCATTGCGCTCATTGGCCACGGTCTTTAGATTAACATACATAAACGCCGTTGCCCCGCCTACCACGTAACACGTCATGTCTCACGTTAATTACGTGCTAATTGCACGAATCGTGATGTACTAACTTCATAGAGAACGCTCGAGATTCTTTATAAATCGCCGACTAATTAATTTCTAAGCACCTTTTATCGTCTACGTGAAAATATCGACACGGCAACGTGCCAAAGCGCTAATCGGTTAATAATTGCTTTGCAACGAGAAATAATCAAAAAACTAAAATTTTCTAGAATAAATTGCAACGTTTATCATAACTTTACGTTCAGTATCAGTTGGATAATTTTCTTAATTTTATTGGTTGTAATAAGCTGTGGCATCTACAGAAATAGGCATCGAGGAAGTAGAGATAAGGGCTTTGTGGAATCTTGCTATAGCTGTTCCTATGTTTTATACATGAACCACATAGGATAATATCAATAATAAGTTATGAATAAAATTTATATTGTCTCAATGATATGAGTTTATTTAAATTTTAGTCTTGATAAGCAACTAGGCCATATTTTTCGAGATGGAAAGTACACTCAAGTAGCTTTGTAGAAAACCCCCTCAATGAATCCTCTGCCTTACTAACGTATCTTCAAATAAATCAAAAATGAAAGAAAATTCTGTTACAAAAACAAGTATTAAGTGAATAAGAACTTAGCCATTCGAATTTCGAATTTTGCTCCAAACGCCATAAAGGAAACTCTCGCAATACAATCAGTGTCCAGTAACAAATCATAAGCTAGCCGCGTTGCTCACGAGCTCACCTAATAAGGTTCCGGATGTCGATGCCCGGCGTGTACAAAGGATTTATGTCGGCTGCTTTTGGTGCAAATTAGCAACGTGTCAGTACGTAGGCGTGAGCTAACAAATTTGTTCACCCGGCACCCCTCAATGGAAAGATTGTCTGATGTGTCATTGTGTAAAGGGACTTTTGCACTCGACTATAAATAAATATCTATCTCAGAGAAGAACAATGAATTCATGTTTAAAGACTCTAAATTTAATGCCTGAATATTTTTAAAGTTCTGTTGTCTATGTTCCGTTAGGGATAAATGATAAGAGTAAATTTTTACGATGCACACGCACACCGTCACAAAAAACCGACACCCGCACACTGAAGTTAGCTTAGTAAACATTTTAAAATAAAAATGTCCATTTTCAGATAGTCCCGATATTTATATAAACTTTATTAACTAGATAATGCGATAAAATAAAACTTTCAATGTGTTTAATACCTTTTTTTCTATTGTTAGTGTCGTTTTTTCTACAAACGTAGAATAAGGCGAAAGATAAAAATTTAATAAAAAAATTTATCTTGTTACGCCAAAGAAGTATAACTTCTAACGCGTGTACATGCACAAACACATGTTTTTTACTAAATACAAGATTTATTTTTGAAAGTACAACTCACAACAATTAATTTTAATAACTAATATAAAAATTTAATTTAAATAACGTTTTAATCTAAAGGGGACTAAAAAAATCGTTACGCAAATTGAGCCCAAGACAATTCGTATAAATCGCTCGGATTTTATATTTTTGTCACAGCATTGATAATACGTATGGTTATTAAAATTCCAAATGCTCCAGTTTCGATGTCGCAAGCCGGTGGGCGGGAAGGCAAGTACTCGCGTAGGTCGCATCGATCAGATGGCAACCCCACCAACATTTCGCAATATTTTACCATACTGACGTTTCTAGGATATTCATCATTAGTGTTACCTATCATTCGAATTGGAGTATGTAAAAGTTGTTATTCGCATATCAAATTGGTACACTTTAATTGGTATAACGAGTTCGTTTGAGCGGATTTATGTATTTTGCTGCGAATATGGAAGTTTGCTGAACGAAAGCTCGGGTGATGAAATAAATTAACGATGTGACTTTAAATGTGAGACAATTTTAAATTTTTAGGTTCTTTTTAATATCTTTGTAATTGTTTTAATATATTCTATACAGCCACTGCTTAGTTTCTCTACATTCGAACCAATTTCCTATTATTTTGGACTACTTTAGATTTGTAATAAAGTTTCTGTCGTTAAATTTTAAAGACAATTTTGAATTTGTTAAATATTAAAAATGGGTTTTCTTTGTTACAGGTCGGTGGCGCACGAGCCCGATGAGCGCGTGCGCAGTGGCCGCCATGCGCGAAAAGCACGCGGCACCGCGCCGCCTGGCATCCCCGCCATCATCGCCTCTAGATCACCACCCCAGCCCACTTGGCTCACCACGGGCCGACGAACCGCTCGACCTCAGAGTCACTCACAAGCGTCCCCAGCGGCTCGAAGATGAAAACTGCAACCTGATTACACCGTCACCGCCACCACACCCCACACACCCAGCACATCCAGCTCATCCAGCGCACCCAGCGCTCCTGCAATTCTGCAGAAGGCTACCCCTAGCATTGCCAGCGTCATTCGGACGTTACCCCTTTCTTCCAGCAGCGGCTGCGACACTCCTCACACCTGGAGCCCCTAGACCGCCACCGCTGCCCCAGAACCCTGGTGTGAACAGAGCGCGGGACCGCTACACGTGCTCTTACTGTGGTAAAGCATTCCCTCGTAGTGCTAACCTAACCAGACACTTACGGACGCATACTGGTGAACAGCCGTACCGGTGCAAATACTGTGAAAGGTCGTTTTCAATATCGTCAAACTTACAACGGCATGTAAGAAATATCCACAATAAGGAGAGACCGTTTCGCTGTCGTCACTGTGACAGATGTTTCGGCCAACAGACGAATTTAGACAGGCATCTGAAGAAACATGAGGCCGAGAACGGGGACGACAGTCGCAGGAGATCCCCAGAAGAGACGTACTTCGAAGAGATTAGATCGTTTATGGGCAGAGTAGCACCCGCGCGGCGAACGACAGCCGCCGCTGCTGCGAGCGCAGCAGATCACACTTGATAGTGATTTGCTAAATCAATCATCGCTACAAAAATCTGGTCGATGCTTCCAAATGACTCAATAGTGTTGTAAATTTGCTCTCTGCCTCGGGCTTCATGACTTGTGATCGATTAGTATTAGCGCCAAGGTATCCCTTGCCTCATTTTTCTGTTCTTACTTTATTTGTCATGTTAAAATTTTAACAGATTCTCTATATATTTAGTTGTAAGATAATTCCTAACAGCTGTTACCGCTATTGTTCTGTACCCTTCGGCGCAGATGAGACACATAAAAAGTAGTTCGTTTAAGGTAATAAGTTGCAAGACGTGATATCGTATCTTATCATAAACTTTGATGTACTTATTGTAAATATAGCTATTGAATATAGTTCTTTAGATAGTGATGTAATAAATTTTTATGAGCTTGGTCATACCAAGACAATCAAATATTCTACGTGTTCAGAGTGTTCGCTATGTTAGAATAAATTTAGTATTGTATGTGTAAGTAGTTCTTTTGTATTATTTTGTAAATTTTGCTTTGTATGATGTTATATTAATAATTTAGTCTGAGAGAAAACGCCGGTTACCAATAAACATTATAACTTGTTGCTTATTGAAGATATTATAAATATTTTTATTGTGTGTTAGAAAATGTAATCAGGGAATTTTATCTTTACGTTGGATAAATTATTTTATGTCTGTATTAAATTGCAGATGTCACGGAAGGGTCTGATAATTAATAAAGCATTTGTATCGAGTTGTCAAAAATATATTAAGATTGTTATTGTTTACTTCTTCAACTGTACGTTATATCGAATATACACGAAAACGAAAAAAAAAGGGTGCGTGTACTTATGTACGCGCGTAAGAAGTTATACTTCTTTGGCATTATTAAAAATAGTTTTTGATTGCATGTAAATAATTAATTACAATTAAATAATCAAAGACTGGAAAAGGAGTCATTATAGTCAATAAAGTTCAGTTTGCATTTGAAAAATTAAATAAATAAATATTTATTATTATTCTCTTACTTTAAGTGTAACATAAATTCTATTATTATTCGAATATTATTTTTAAATTATGTCCAATGCCGTAGCATCTTACGTGGGCAACTTCATTCTGTTAATTTTGTGTCACGGTGCGCGCGCATCGTAAAATTTCACTCTCAACAATTTTTCATAACGCGCCTAAAGAAGTATAACCTCAATAAAAATAAAAAATTGTGAATACTTTATCGGTTTAAGTCCCTTTAATACTTTGCTAATTTCTGTCGTAAATTTACGTACAAGATGTAGTTTTGTACAATTTACGTCTACCTATAAAGGCGACAGTTTTAGTCATCTTCGTGTAAATGAATCCCATCTGAGTTAGATTCAGAAACGAGACTTAGAGCGAACTCAAAATTCAATAATACAGACATGCAGAAGTAACACTTAACGCTAAGTCTCCGTTCTGAATGTCACCGTAAGTTTTGACAAGTGTCAAGACAATCGATACAAATGTTATAGAGCCCAACGTTGTTAAGTTTCAAATTATTATTCAAAATCACATTGTATATAAAATTCTATATAATAACTGTTGTAACGTTTATTATCCAAATTTTACTAAATTAAGTAATATGAATCTGTGATTTTATTTATTTACTTTTGAAATTTTTGATTTGTTCGGAACAGTTTTAGGACGATGCCTCTCGAAGAACTAATTTAAACGTTCCTCTAAGTATAGATAGATCTCTATTAAATGTTACGAGTATGAAATTCTATATTGTAATAAGAATAATTTCTTCTAATATATTTCAAATTCCTTACTGTTGATAAAATAATAATTGATTAAATACAAATTTATTCTTAATTCAGTAAAAAAAAGTCTCGATTTATTTAAAAAAAAAACATAATTTTTCGAAGTTATTCTGTTTCAAATAACACAGTTTATAATTCTTTCTGTCACAAAACATAGGATTGGGAATGTAAATTAAAAATCGAAGCGATTCTGCGATTGATTTGATTGGTCAAATGGCAAGACTCTGTGATTGGACCAGAGATACCGCTGACCAATCAGAATCAAACGAAACCGTCTTATCTTCTGTTTTACAATCCCACATACATAATCTAAGCCTACCGACTATCATCCGTAAGTAAAATATATGTAATAACCGCATTTTCCTTAACAAGACGTTACCCTGTAATATAGAATACGTGTGCCTTACTATGTTAATACTCGTACCAAAATTATTTTTTTATGAGATGCTATTTAACTTATGTAGTATAAGAAATAGAGATTACTTCATTTTGTACTTTTCATACCTATTAGTCGTTCAAAGGTCACCAATTACCTTGTCAAAATGAAATAAATAATTTTAAATTTATTTGTGTATTTATTTTAACCGCCACCAGAGCTTAAGGAGCCAAGCTACCCTATAGCATTTAAGAAAAAATAAAAGAACTTCATATTAAAGAAAAATAAATTTATGCACTAGTCCTAACACTAGAAATCCCTACGTCGCGTCGTGTGCACCTAGTCACAGCTGGAGTCAGCGTATCAGATTCTACATAACACTTCATTAATTATTGTTGAACAATACGAAAATTATTAACAAAAACGCCAGGTTTCTTTATAACTGAAATTATTTCTACTTTCCCGCCATTTCTAGAATACCTATGGCGTCCTGTCATTTCGACTTGATTGCACGTAAAGGAAGCATAGACAATCAAGACAAATATCTACAATAAACAGACTGTATTTGCTATAATATATAATAAAATAGAATATTAATACAGTGTTGGTTATGGTAACTATATTAATAAATGTCTCCTTTTTATTTTTTATTACTCAATGTCCAGTTATACAGATAATAGACTAGCGCAGTATCTTTATCTGTGGTTGAACAAGCGTTTGTATTTAGATAATTAAAAGCTATAGCCATTTTAACCGAAGGGCAGGTTGGACCGATGTCGTGAGGCCCGCCTCACCAGCGAGCTTAGGATATGATTACATTTCATAGCCATTAATTTGCGACAAACGAAACCGCCCAACGGGCAGCCATGTTGCTATATTAGATAGATTATAAAACCAATTAATAGTTTCAGTATCCTATATTTTATAATTAAGTTCTGAAGCTTAATTAAAACATCCGATCAGAATAATAATATATATGATTAATATAAATAAGAAAGTAGTTCAAATAGATTTAATACACATAGTTATTTGACTATACATATTTCAAAAAAAAAAATAACTAAATTTTATTAAAAGTGAAGCGAACAATATAAAACGAAATATTTTTAGGAAATCTAATACAAAGATGGGATATTAGAAAAAGTAGCTTCTGTAGATTAATTTAAATAAAAATAGACACATTTGATATTATTATATAAGTAAGATACGATTAAACATTTTAACTATCCTTTCTCGTTCATATCGAGCAACTAAGACTAAATTCCATTATGTATAAGTATCTGTTATACCTACCTGACTCTAATGAAACTATTAAGTTATGAGCGAAAGCGATCTGTTATATAATAAACGGTGTTATGAATAGCGTGTAAGTGGTCCATTTTTGAGTAAAGTTATTTTAAACAGTCATTCACGTGAACAAAATTTCACGTAGGAAAATCAGCTACAATGGTACAAACTATTTTTTTTAAATTACTGGTTCGTTTAGCCTATAGTTGGGTAAATACGTCAAATTAATTAAAACTCTTATTATTTAAACAAGTAAATCAGTCGATTTGTACTCTTTTAACTAAAGTATACATTCGTCTCTTTTTGTCAAATTGTGTTACGCTGCAATAAAAAAGAGATAGAGGTCTGTTAAAACGGTTCATTTTTTATTTAGGGTCAGTAGTACTAGATTCGTTCTTTAGATTGCGGTAAAACATCAACGTCAATACAACAAGAAATAAAGGCAAAGCTTTATTATACATAATAAAAAAGGAAAGTGCACTAGCCCCACACTAGGATTCCCTGTGTCGTAAGTTAAAGAACCCTGCGGAAGAGTAGGTCTAACTAGACACCGCTACAGCTAGTGACTAGCGGCGAAGTGAGTTCCAATGCTGGGTGGGGCAGATTGCACCACGATGACACGGCCGGGCGCTTGTTAGCGGTCGGCGCGTGCGCGCCACTGTTGGGTTGCGTTACATTATTTATTGCTTATTGAAAAACCGCGCTCACTTTCGCACAATTATGATTATTGTGGTCAATCTATTTTTTACATTGTTTGGTAATAGCGTTTCTAACAAATCTTCTGAAATGAAAGTATGCATATCGTAATGTTTAATGACATTTATTTTAAAGGTTATTATGAAAATGTTTACATTAATTTAATGAGACTGACGATAAACACTGATAAGGTCGGAACTTTTTAAAGCGGTAACAGTTTAAAAATACATAATAAATTTTTGAAGGTTAATACGTGTATTTTTGTCGAAAGCACTACCTACTATTGGGGCAGAACTCAAGTTTTGTTAAAATATTTTTTGAAGTGAAACTTCTTTATGAGGGTAATTTTTTTACGGATGAAACGCAATAATAATAATAGCGTCACGATGTGCAGCGTTTTGTCGAAGAAAAGGGAGAGAGCGATTGAGACCGATTGAGAGGGAGTGAGAAGGGCAAATTACCGTTAAGAAATTCTATTTTTAAAATTTCGTAAAGAATATTTATGAAATATTAGTATTTTTTTATTTTATGCAAAATAATTTATTGAAATCTCAAATTACAAGTTGGAAATCAAAATGCCACGTGTTTTTATTATCGAAGAAATATTTTTTTTTAAATAATTTGTATTAATTTTCAACACTTTTAATATTTTAATGACAATTAAATTCATTAAATTCCTAACATATCTTTATTTTTCCCTCCCTCTCAGTCTCGGAAATCTAAAGTTTTAGATTTGCATGCACTTTTTTTTTTATTAACAGAATAATGTAATTTAAATTAGTATGTTTTGAAAACCACTGCGGTTTGTATTAATGTAACAGTGACAGTCTTGTTTAGGAGCGCGACAAATGCATATAAAAATAA